CTTTCCAGCATAAGTTGAGTTTTCTAATTCAAATGAACAATTTAATCTCGATAAATAATAGTCGTTTATTATGCCTATATAGTCATTAGTAATGCTAGAGTGCAATGTTGTGTTGACCTTCAGTGTTGTGGTGTTGACCTTCAGTGTTGTTGTGGTGTTGATCTTCAGTGTTGTTGTGGTGTGGTGTTGTGTTGACCTTCAGTGTTATTGTGGTGTGGTGGTGTTGACCTTCAGTGTTGTTGTGGTGTGTTGTTGTGGTGTGTTGTTGTGGTGTTGACCCTCAGTGTTGTTGTGGTGTTGACCTTCAGTGTTGTTGACCTTCAGTGTTGTTGTGGTGTTGTGTGTTGGTGTTGTGTTGACCTTCAGTGTTGTTGTGGTGTTGACCTTCAGTGTTGTTGTGGTGTTGTGTTGACCTTCAGTGTTGTTGTGGTGTTGTGTTGACCTTCAGTGTTGTTGTCGTGTGGTGTTGTTGTGGTGTTGACCTTCAGTGTTGTTGTGGTGTGGTGTTGACCTTCAGTGTTGTTGTGGTGTTGTGTTGACCTTCAGTGTTGTTGTGGTGTTGTGTTGACCTTCAGTGTTGTTGTGGTGTTGTGTTGACCTTCATTGTGGTGTTGACCTTCAGTGTTGTTGTGTTGTGGTGTTGACGTTCAGTGTTGTTGTGGTGTTGTGTTGACCTTCAATGGTCTTGTGTTGACTTTCAGTGGTGTTGTATTCACCTTCAGTGTTGTTGTGGTGTGGTGTTGACCTTCAGTTTTGTTGTGGTGTGGTGTTGACCTTCAGTTTTGTTGTGTTGACCTTCAGTGTTGTTGTGTTGACCTTCAGTGTTGTTGTGGTGTTGTGTTGACCTTCAGTGTGTTGTGGTGTGTGTTGACCTTCAGTGTTGTGGTGTTGTGTTGACCTTCAGTGTTGTTGTGGTGTTGTTTTGTTCAGTGTTGTTCAGTGTTCCTTCAGTGTTGTTGTGTGTGTTCAGTGTTGTTGTGGTGTGGTGTTGACCTTCAGTGTTGTTGTGGTGTGGTGTTGTTGACCTTCAGTGTTGTTGTGTTGTGGTGTGGTGTTGTTGTGGTGTGGTGTTGTGGTGTGGTGTTGACCTTCAGTGTTGTTGTGGTGTTGTGTTGACCTTCAGTGTTGTGGTGTGGTGGTGACCTTCAGTGTTGTTGTGGTGTGGTGGTGTCCTTCAGTGTGGTGTTGACCTTCAGTGTTGTTGTGTTGTGTTGTGTTGACCTTCAGTGTTGTTGTGGTGTGTTGTGTTGACCTTCAGTGTTGTTGTGTGTGTTGACATGACCTTCAGTGTTGTTGTGGTGTGGTGTTGACCTTCAGTGTTGTGTGGTGTGGTGTTGACCTTCAGTGTTGTTGTGGTGTTGTGTGTTGACCTTCAGTGTTGTTGTGGTGTGGTGTTGACCTTCAGTGTTGTGTTGTGTGTTGACCTTCAGTGTTGTTGTGGTGTGGTGGTGTCCTGTGGTGTGGTGTGTGTTGACCTTCAGTGTTGTTGTGGTGTTCAGTGTTGTTGTGGTGTTGCCCTTCAGTGTGTTGTGTGTTGACCTTCAGTGTTGTTGTGGTGTTACCTTCAGTGTTGTTGTGTTGTGGTGTTGACCTTCAGTGTTGTGTGTGGTGTTGACCTGACCTTCAGTGTTGTTGTGGTGTGTGTGTTGTGGTGTTTGACCTTCAGTGTTGTTGTGGTGTTGTGTTGACCTTCATTGTAGTGTTGACCTTCAGTGTTGTGGTGTTGTTGACCTTCAGTGTTGTTGTGGTGTTGTGTTGACCTGTTGTTGTGTGTTGTGTTGACCTTCAGTGTTGTTGTGGTGTAGTTTTGACCTTCAGTGTTGTTGTGGTGTGGTGGTGTCCTTCACCTTCAGTGTTGTTGTGGTGTGGTGTTGACCTTCAGTGTTGTTGTGGTGTGGTGTTGACCTTCAGTGTTGTTGTGGTGTTGCCCTTGTTGTTGTTGTGTTCAGTGTTGTTGTTGTGTTGACCTTCAGTTTTGTTGTGGTGTGGTGTTGACCTTCAGTTTTGTTGTGTTGACCTTCAGTGTTGTTGTGTTGTGGTTTTGACCTTCAGTGTTGTTGTGGTGTGGTGTTGACCTTCAGTGTTGTTGTGGTGTTGACCTTCAGTGTTATTGTGTAGTGGTGTGACCTTCAGTGTTTTGTGTGTGGTGTTGACCTTCAGTGTTGTTGTGTTGTGGTTTTGACCTTCAGTGTTGTTGTGGTGTGGTGTTGACCTTCAGTGTTGTTGTGGTGTTGACCTTCAGTGTTTTGATGTGGTGTTGTTGTGGTGTTGACCTTAAGTGTTGTTGTGTTGTGGTGTTGACCTTCAGTGTTGTTGTGGTGTGGTGTTGACCTTTAGTGTTGTTGTTGACCTTCAGTGTTGTTGTGGTTTGGTGTTGACCTTCAGTGTTGTTGTGGTGTGGTGTTGACCTTCATTGTGTTGTGGTGTGGTGTTGACCTTCAGTGTTGTTGTGTTGACCTACAGTGTTGTTGACCTTCAGTGTTGTTGTTGACCTTCAGTGTTGTTGTGTTGACCTTCAGTGTTGTTGTGGTGTGGTGTTGACCTTCAGTGTTGTTGTGTGGTGTTGACCTTCAGTGTTGTTGTGGTGTTGACCTTCAGTGTTGTGGTGTTGACCTTCAGTGTTGTGGTGTTGACCTTCAGTGTTGTTGTGGTGTTGACCTTCAGTGTTGTTGTGTTGACCTTCAGTGGTGTTGTGTTGACCTTCAGTGTTGTGGTGTTGTTGACCTTCAGTTGCGTTGACCTTCAGTGTTGTTGTGGTGTTGACCTTCAGTATTGTTGTGGTGTGGTGTTGACCTTCAGTGTTGTTGTGGTGTAGTGTTTTTGTAGTGTTGACCTTCAGTGTTCTTGTGTGTTTTTGTAGTGTTGACCTTCAGTGTTGTGCTGTGTTGACCTTCAGTGTTGTTGTGGTGTTGACCTTCAGTGTTGTTGTGGTGTGGTGTTGACCTTCAGTGTTGTTGTGGTGTTGACCTTCAGTGTTGTTGTGGTGTTGACCTTCAGTGTTGTTGTGGTGTTGACCTTCAGTGTTGTTGTGGTGTTGACCTTCAGTGTTGTTGTGGTGTGGTGTTGACCTTCAGTGTTGTTGTGGTGTGGTGTTGACCTTCAGTGTTGTTGTGGTGTGGTGTTGACCTTCAGTGTTGTTGTGGTGTGGTGTTGACCTTCAGTGTTGTTGTATTGTGGTGTTGACCTTCAGTGTTGTTGTGGTGTTGACCTTCAGTGTTGTTGTGTTGATGTTCAGTGTTGTTGTGTTTACCTTCAGTGTTGTTGTGGTGTGGTGTTGACCTTCAGTGTTGTTGTGGTGTGGTGTTGACCTTCAGTGTTGTTGTGGTGTGGTGTTGACCTTCAGTGTTGTTGTGTTGTGGTGTTGACCTTCAGTGTTGTTGTGGTGTTGTTGACCTTCAGTTTTGTTGTGGTGTTGACATTCAGTGTTGTTGTGGTGTTGACCTTCAGTGTTGTTGTGGTGTTGACCTTCAGTGTTGTTGTGGTGTTGACCTTCAGTGTTGTTGTGATGACCTTCAGTGTTGTTGTGGTGTGGTGGTGTCCTTCAGTGTTGGTATGGTGTTGACCTTCAGTGTTGGTGTGGTGTTGACCTTCAGTGTTGTTGTGGTGTTGACCTTCAGTGTTGGTGTGGTGTTGACCTTCAGTGCTGTTGTGGTGGTGTTGACCTTCAGTGTGGTTGTGGTGTTGACCTTCAGTGGTGTTGACCTTCAATGTGGTTGTCGTGTTGACCTTCAGTGTTCGTGTGGTGTTGACCTTGTGTGTTGTTGTGGTGTTGACCTTCAGTGTTGGTGTGGTGTTGACCTTCAGTGTTGTTGTGGTGGTGTTGACCTTCAGTGTGGTTGTGGTGTTGACCTTCAGTGTGGTTGTGGTGTTGACCTTCAGTGGTGTTGAACTTCAGTGTGGTTGTCGTGTTGACCTTCAGTGTTGGTGTGGTGTTGACCTTCAGTGTTGGTGTGGTGTTGACCTTCAGTGTTGTTGTGGTGTTGTGTTTACCTTGTGTTGTTGTGGTGTTGTGTTGACCTACTGTGTTGTTGTGTTGACCTTCAGTGTTGTTGTGGTGTGGTGTTGACCTTCAGTGTTGTTGTGGTGTGGTGTTGACCTTCAGTGTTGTTGTGGTGTGGTGTTGACCTTCAGTGTTGTTGTGGTCTGGTGGTGTCCTTCAGTGCTGTTGTGGTGTGGTGTTGACCATCAGTGTTGTTGTGGTGTGGTGGTGTCCTTCAGTGATGTTGTGGTGTGGTGTTGACCTTCAGTGTTGTTGTGGTGTGGTGTTGACCTCCAGTGTTGTTGTGGTGTTGACCTTCAGTGTTGTTGTGGTGTTGACCTTCAGTGTTGGAGTGGTGTTGACCTTCAGTGTTGTTGTTGTGTTGACCTTCAGTGTTGTTGTTGTGTTCACCTTCAGTGTTGTTGTGGTGTTGTGTTGTCCTTCAGTGTTATTGTGCTGTGTTGACCTTCAGTGTTGTTGTGGTGTTGACCTTCAGTGTTGTTGTGGTGTGGTGTTGACCTTCAGTGTTGTTGTGGTGTTGACCTTCAGTGTTGTTGTGGTGTGGTGTTGACCTTCAGTGTTGTTGTGGTGTGGTGTTGACCTTCAGTGTTGTTGTGGTGTGGTGTTGACCTTCAGTGTTGTTGTGGTGTGGTGTTGACCTTCAGTGTTGTTGTGGTGTGGTGTTGACCTTCAGTGTTGTTGTGGTGTGGTGTTGACCTTCAATGTTGTTGTGGTGTGGTGTTGACCTTCAGTGTTGTTGTATTGTGGTGTTGACCTTCAGTGTTGTTGTGGTGTTGACCTTCAGTGTTGTTGTGGTGTTGACCTTCAGTGTTGTTGTGTTGATGTTCAGTGTTGTTGTGTTTACCTTCAGTGTTGTTGTGGTGTGGTGTTGACCTTCAGTGTTGTTGTGGTGTGGTGTTGACCTTCAGTGTTGTTGTGTTGTGGTGTTGACCTTCAGTGTTGTTGACCTTCAGTGTTGTTGTGGTTGTTGACCTTCAGTTTTGTTGTGGTGTTGACATTC